CAGGCTTCGCTAACGCAGCAGACACAGTGACGACACTCTCACCCAGCGCTGGGAGCACCTGAAATAGTGTCAGACTGAAACCCGATGAGTTTGTGTGTGTGAGGACAAGCTGAGTGTCAGAGTAAGACGATGGAGGAGTCAAAATCCAGGAATGCTAAAATAAAAGTGGTTTAAAGATGCAGTCAGTGATTTTTTTCCAGACACATTTTTTTTTTAAAATATTGTGGGAATATTGTGTCCCTAAACCCTAAAAGTATCAAGTTATCATGTGTTTTCAACCAGTAATGGAATTAACCAGATGCCTATAGTCTACAACAATTAATAACAAATATTTTGGAGCGGGCCGATAAAAATAAACCAATGGGAGTCGTTCATCTCCAACGAACCAATGGGATGTGTTTACCCCCTTCACCCTCTTCCTGTTTCTCGCGAGTGCACCGGAGTTATCTGATTTTCTAAAACCTAAAATGGCCGAACAGAAAATGCCACTTTCACGTTTGCTTCACTTTCCCTGTTGTGACAAAGTAAAGAAAATGCTGGATGTTTGGTTTGGTGGAGCGGCGAGGGGGGGGGTTTACAGTTGGTGCTAAGGGCTAAGCTAACAACATCGCTAACTGCACCTTTAATTATGAAAAAAAAAAACATATAGACACAGACACAGGTGAGACACACGAGGGCGGGGCAGACCAACAACACAGGGGAACAATACAGGAAGTAAAAACTGAAAATGATGTCAAAGTAAAACCAAAATACAAACATGAAATCCACACCATGACACAAAGAAAAGATTATAATTTCCAAGGTTCTCTGAGTTTCTGTCTGTGAGTTAAACACCAGGTTAGGGAAGTTTACCGTCTCTTCTTTGTAGAAATAAAAGTCATAAATGATGATAGTAAATGAGTTAGTGATACATAACGACAGAGTTATAGCGTCAAAACATATGAAGGTAATATCATCGCTAACGGCACAAGATAAGTGAACGATAGCTCTATACGAAGTAAAGTAAAAACAGAAACTCTAGCATCAAAGAACAAGTATAAAAGTCTTCTGTATATAACGCCTTCACAGACCAGAGTCACAAAGCGCTTTACAATTAACTTATTTTGTCCCTCTATCATACAGAGATGGGAGTGATTATTATTATTTTTAAAGGGACAGTGCACAATAAGCATTAGCCAATAGGAGGGGTGCGTTGTAGCAGGTTGTAGCAGCAGTGCTAATTTACAGCTGTAGATCGTTCTATAGCCTGAGCAAACCCTCCCCTCGGTGTGGGATCTAAATCATCAAGGTTTCTCACTTTTTTTTTCTATATGTTTCTTGTTTGTGCAGAAGGTTGTAAGGACAGTGATGATTCGGGACATTTATGAACATTTATGAACATTTATGAACATTTATGAACATTTATGGACATTGGTCGTACTGCTCCCCGTGGACCAATGAATCTATGTGTTTGTTCTTATTGCACTTCCTGTATTGGTGAATTTTTGGCGAGTTGACAACTTTGTAAAGTCCTCCGGGACGACTATAGGGCTATAAACAATTGAATGTAATTGATAGGGGTGGGCAATATGGCCTAAAATTCATATCGCGGTATAATTTGGGTCATAGACGGTAGACGGTATATATCGCGGTATAATTTGGTGTGTGAATTTCAATATAGGTCTAGCAGGTTCTTGCATAAAATAGTCAAGATTGTTAATTATTTATATATTAGAATCTAATATATATATTTTTTGAGTTAGAAAATCAGTTGTGAGACGAATAAAGAGACAAATAACATACATTATTTATGTATGTTACAGTAAATACCATTCACTGTAAAAGCAATTTTTAAAAAGAAAAACATATGCATTCATTTAAAATATAAAAAACTCACAAATGTTGAAATCAAAGTCTGTAGGAGTTTGACATGGTCATTATTTATAGTGTCTGAGAGTTTTGTGCAGGTACATGACTTCAGTAAAAGCTGTTCGTTTACAAAGCTGGTCTTGCCATTTGTTGACGCTCCCTAAGCGCTTTTCTCTGCGCTTGCAGTGAACTGGATGATTCAATGGATTTTATGTTCATTAAAACAGGGCATTGGATTTGAACAATTGATGTAAATGGTCATTTTGGCACAAATAATTTTGTTTAACAAAGTAGCTTTCGTGAGATATTGACCGCGGAGGTCCGAATCTGACGCTAACTTTCCCAAACTTCTGCTGTGATGCTGCGGACACGGCACACGATGGCGCTTCGAGCTTACGCCCCTTTGACACTGATTGGCCAAAAGGTAGACTCTTAAACTGTGATTACTGTGTGTGTATTTACCTCTGCTGGGGCCGCTGTGACAACAATACAGAGACAGAAACACGGTGTGAATGCCGTGCTGTTGTTCGTTGTTTCCAGTGGTGTCCAATAGTGCTAGGCTAATGCTGCTGAATGCCGGTTTGTTTTGATGCTTTCTGCTGGCGTCAGAGCCTGCGCAATTTAATGACATAATGACCTATCGCAATATGCCGGTATAACAAAAATCTCTACCGTGGGCCAAATTTATACCGTCTACCGCTTATACCGTTTATACCGCCCAGCCCTAGTAATTGATTAAGATTAAGAGATCCTTTATCACAACACAAAATAAACGATCAATGACTCAATACTAAAATAAATCTCTTTAACTTTAACATAAAAAAGAAACAAGAATCAAGCTTAAAATCTCTGACAATTGAATAAATACTTTCTGCTGCGCTTTACTGTCTTTATTTGACCATGAAACAGCTTTTACATTCACATGTTCTCTCACTGTGAGCAGTGAAGTCTTCCACATGCTCAGTGGGACTTTAACTTTGTTGCTGTGTGTGTAACCAGTTTAAATAAGTTAGCACTTACATTCAGGATACAACCCTTCAGTAAAATGCTGTGCACTTGGTTGACTTCTCTCTGGAGCTGAGAGCAGTGGTGAGGGAGGGCTGAGCCGCCACTGAATAGCAGGGTGTTTTCAGGCTGCAATGACAGGCTCAGACAGGCAGCCGCTCTAATGACCTCTGACGCCAGGGCCTGTCTCTCTCAGAAATAACAAACACACACAGACACAGACACACACACACACACACACACACACTGGGCCCCACAGGTGAGCAGGCCTCTGTCAGCTGTTAAGAAAGGCCAGCGTCCTTCTTATCGGTGTGTTCCTGTGCGTACATGTTCACAGATATGAGCAGCGAGGGGCGGCGAAGGGCGGCGTGTTGCTGACATCCATTTGAAACACAAAGACACTTTGGGCTCTTATCTTGGATAAATACCTTTTCCTCCATTTAGGCAACAGTAGATAGTCTAGGACTTAGTTCTCCAAACTCTGTGCACGGATGGATTTACGATAAACTCCCCGAGGCTGTGCTCTGACCAACTTCAAAGCACACAGCCCCCTTGTTTTATGAGAAGCATGCTTCCCCCTCCTCACCCCTCCTCCTCTGTCTCTGTCTACCCTCCAGTCTCCTCTTTTTGCTCCTTTTTCCCCTTCCTCCCAGTGTTTAATGAAGTCTAATGACAGGCCGCGGTGAGTCTGCTTTGGGCCAGCACAGATCCTGCTCCATTAACATTGCAGTTTGTCTCAGACGGGACCTTCCAAATTACCGGTTACATTCACAGCTACCACTAGATGAAGTGGGGGAGGGCGAGGTATGGGAAGTACCCAGAATCAGGTCCATGAGAGAGAGGCTCTGTTCACCTAACCCCCTCCTCTTTCATGTACGCTTCCCCTCCTTTAGCTTTCTTAACCCTTCACGGCGTTTTCCAGCGCCCTGAGATTTTAGTGTATGCTTTTAAAAATGACAGGAAGCTGAAAAGATTGAGTGTTTGTTGATAGATGTCAGAGGAATTACGTCGGTGATGACCCTAAAAGCACTGGAGACACTTAAAATCAGTAGAGGAAGCAAGTTTGCCAAAGTAACAGTCAAAATATGTGAAAAGCATTCCTTCTCACCGCACCCCACCCCTTTCTCTGCCTCTGTCTCCCTCCACTTCCCTCGCGCCTGACTGGCTCCCACTTTTTTTGCTGGGAGCCAGATTTCTGTGGAATAGAGATATGAAGGGGAGAGGGGGAGGAGAGGGGGAGGAGAGGGGTTGGAAAATGGATCACGGCCAATGCTACACTTCTTTACACTCGGGGGGAAACTTTAGATCGAAGAGGCCTGACTTGTCAACAATTCACCGCATGGGATTTGTGAGCTGCTTGTCGGTTAAACAGCGAGGACTTTGCCAAAAAAAAAAAAAGGGGGGGAAAACAAAAGGAAACATAAAACTAAGTCATCTTTTTAGGGCTTTCTGCTGCAGTGACACACATTCTGGGACGGTGAGCTGCTGACATCAGAACTCTGCTGGTACAAAAAGCTCGGCAGATGAAAAGTATTGGATTCCTAGACAAATACTGTAGTGCATGTGGACACTTGCCCGCACGACTTTCCAGGTTACTACTCTTGTGTTAAGTCCAAGAATTCAGCGTAGGTTTCCTTCCGAGCATAACTCACACCTCCACACTGCAAAAAATGATCAGATATGAGGTAATAATTGCTTGAATCGGGCGGTTTTTATCTTAATCTGTGTACAATCGGACTGTGTTAAAACATTCTCCAATGGGACGAAGCTGTTTAGACTTACTTCAAGAACTGATCATTTTGCGTTGTCCCGTTGGCAAATATGGTTTTAATTCAGTCGGAATGTGCTCAAATTGAGATACATTTAGCCAAATTTGATCCAGTTTTGCGGTGGGTCCTAAACAGCAATGAAAAATAAGTCAAAAGGGTCTACGATTTGGCGAAATGAATCTTAATTTGAGCTTAAAAAACAATTGGGACCAGAAAATTGTCTTGTTTTAAAAAGATGCAAGAAATGTCTCCCTTGGAATGAGAAAATAAAGCATTCGTTTTTGGAAAAGGAATCACTCTCTCTGTGTTTGCGTGTCCGTTCTTTCTCTACACGATGCGTAACCAAGACTTTTCCCTCTTCTTTGTGTGTTTTTGCAGATTCCTTGGTAATGCAGGAGTCTGGCGATCGGGCCCATTGGTGCGTGGTGGCGTACTGGGAGGAGAAAACGCGCGTGGGTCGCCTCTACTCGGTCCAGGAACCGTCTCTGGACATCTTCTACGATCTACCTCAGGGGAACGGCTTCTGCTTGGGCCAGCTCTGCTCGGACAACAAGTCGCAGCTGGTGCAGATGGTGCGCGCCAAGATCGGCTACGGCATCCAGCTAACGCGCGAGGCGGACGGCGTGTGGGTCTACAACCGCAGCTGCTACCCCATCTTCATCAAGTCGGCCACACTGGACAACCCGGACTCGCGCACGCTGCTAGTGCACAAGGTGTTCCCCGGTTTCTCGATCAAGGCGTTCGACTACGACAAGGCGGGGAGCTTGCGGAGACCCAACGACCACGAATTCACGCAACAACCGCGGACTGGGTTCACGGTGCAGATAAGCTTCGTGAAAGGCTGGGGACAGTGCTACACTCGGCAGTTCATCAGCAGCTGCCCCTGTTGGCTGGAGGTCATCTTCAACACGCGATAGCACGGACTCTCTCGTCGTTTTGTTGGAGAGACGGAGGCGTTTTTTGATGAAGAAGTATTCTCTAAAAAAGACTTTGTTTAATAAGCGACTCTAAGATTTAATGAAAGTAAATAAGAAGTGAAAATGTATTTTATGTTATATATAAATATATTATTAATTGTAAATATGAAGACATTTTATATGCATCATTATTTATGTATTGTGCAATGTGTTGATGAGAAAAAGAAAATAAGATGCACTTTGCTTAATATAAATGCAAAACAAAGAAATGCCAAAATAATAATTAAAAAAATACAAATATTCAACTTGTGCAAAATCTTTCCTTTCATTCTAAGTTGATGATGTCACTTCACATGTCATTATTCATTCACTCCATATAAACTTCTGTAGTGGCCACAGCTGCCCTGGGGCACACTGACAGAAGCGAGGCAACCAGTCTGTGCCATCAGCCCCTCCCACCACCACCAACCATTCACACACACACCAGACTCTTTCTAATGTGGGGGAAGTGTCTTGCCTAAGGACACAACCACAGTTTGGCACTTTACAGCTGCAGCCGCCCCACTGTGGCTCCTCCCATCACAACACTAACCAGGCCCTGCCCTGCTTAGCTTCAGAGGTCTGACAAGGATCTGGCTTTACTGCGTGGTCAGGAAGTGGTGAAACAATCATCAGGAACCGATACAGTTCAATCTTTCCCATGTTTTTGTGTCACTGTTTCTCACTGAAGATCTGGCCAAAATTCCCTCAGAGTTTGATTTGATTTGATTAACTCATTTGAGCAGAAATTAAACGATGAAGATGTCTTTTTTTCGTCCCACAGTGGGGAAATTTCAGTGTTGCAATCACCAGTTACAGAACAACGACTCTATACTCCAATTTAAAAAACAAATATCTAACTTTAGCATGATGAAGAAGCAAGTCTAAAATCTCTAAGTTTAATAAAAATATCTCACAAAGCAAAACAAATTCTCTCACATTGGTATTTTAAATTTACATGTTCAATCTAACATAGAATTGTCCCCTCATTTAAAGTTTATTTGTTTGGGACAGTAAATAAGTACGTACTATTTTTTTTTTATATAGCACATTTCACACACCAAAGTCACACATAAGGGCTTTAAAATGTTCTCCATTTCCATGTTCAAGTCATTTTTGTTTCGCCCTAAACCACAGCAGCAGTCGTCGGAGGACTTTGCAAAGTTATCGATTCCTCAACAGATCAGAGACTCCAACAAAGTCAAAACACATGAGGAAACGCAATAATATCAAACACGTAAGAGGAGTTAGAAATGTCCTGGAATATCACTGTCCTCCACAAACGATGACCAGTGGTAGGGGAAACCGGAGCACCTGGAGGAAACCTGCACAGGCAAGAGGCGAACTGTGCCATCACCAGAAAACGACTCACCCCAGCTCCATCTTTCTAACTAAAGAATTGTCCGTTTTACCCCAGACTCACTAAGTCGTTTATTGTTATTTAACGCTAATGCTACCAAGACACTAAACCCATAACACACACATGCTAACTCCACACAGAAAGACCTAGCCTAGCCTTAGCCACACATAAACTCTGGTCCATGATTATCTCCTACATGTAGGTCTGGGTCTGATCCTAGTGGCTACATGTGACCTCGGTTGAATCCCCTCCGACCAATCAGAGAGCGGGGGAGGCGGGTGTTGTAGGGAGGTCAAGAGTTATGGCTCAATCCAAATATCAAGAAATGGAAGCTGGAGCAAGAGGAATTCAGTATTTAGCAGATTTAATTGATGGCAAAGATGTTGTGGCTCTACTCCCCACTGGCTCTTTTATTAGCTGAAGCTAGGCTAAATGCTAAAGCTATAGCTTATCATTTAGGCTATAGGCTAAATGATAACAACTCACTCAAGCACATACATGCGTCATAGTAAACTCAGATCCAATCGTTTCAATCTGCAAAAGGAGTTAACCCCTCCCACCTGTTAACGGAGTCAATGGAGCAAATCCAAACCTTAGTACATAATGAAATAAGTGGAATTGAACCCAGGACCTTCTCTCTGTATAGCACAAGTGCTAACCACTGCCCCACCGTGTCAGACAGTGCATGTCAATGATGAACACACGCAATTTTCCATCCGTTGTCCCGCTGTCGCACTCACGAACACACACTCTCTGAACTATTGTATATATGTGTGTGCGTGTGTGTGTGTATATATGTGTGTGCGTGTGTGTGTGTGTATATATGTGTGTGCGTGTGTGTGTGTGTATATATGTGTGTGTGTGTGTGTAGTGGGAGGGAACCTACACAGGCATAGGGAGAACATGCAAACACCACTCACAGAGGCCCTGTCTGTGTGGATGTGGAATCGAAGCCATAACATTCTAGGATCCATGTCTTCAAACCAGCATTCTGAAAATATACTAGAACTTCCAGTAATGAATATAATATAAAATAAATATAAATATAATGTGTAATTTATTCTTGTTTAGTCCTAAATCAAATGAAACTTCAAACACTGTTGGTCCAGACAGAGATGGGCTTTAACATGAAAACATTGCAATAGTGTTTTAATTCAATTCAATTCTAGCTCTAAATCACAACAGGAGTTTTCTCAGAGGACTTTACAAAACCATTGAATTCGTCAACAACAGATCAGAGAATCAAAATAAGGAGTGATTTTCTGTTTCTCTCTCTAGTCTCTCTCTAGTCTCTCTCTGGTCTCTCTCTGGTCTCTCTCTGGTCTCTCTCTAGTCTCTCTCTAGTCTCTCTCTGGTCTCTCTCTGGTCTCTCTCTGGTCTCTCTCTGGTCTCTCTCTGGTCTCTCTCTGGTCTCTCTCTAGTCTCTCTCTGGTCTCTCTCTGGTCTCTCTCTGGTCTCTCTCTGGTCTCTCTCTGGTCTCTCTCTAGTCTCTCTCTGGTCTCTCTCTGGTCTCTCTCGCTGGTCTCTCTCTGGTCTCTCTCTGCTCTCTCTCGCTGGTCTCTCTCTGGTCTCTCTCTAGTCTCTCTCTGGTCTCTCTCTGGTCTCTCTCTAGTCTCTCTCTGGTCTCTCTCTAGTCTCTCTCTGGTCTCTCTCTGGTCTCTCTCTAGTCTCTCTCTGGTCTCTCTCTAGTCTCTCTCTGGTCTCTCTCTCTCTCTGGTCTCTCTCTAGTCTCTCTCTGGTCTCTCTCTGGTCTCTCTATAGTCTCTCTCTGGTCTCTCTCTAGTCTCTCTCTGGTCTCTCTCTGGTCTCTCTCTAGTCTCTCTCTGGTCTCTCTCTAGTCTCTCTCTGGTCTCTCTCTAGTCTCTCTCTGGTCTCTCTCTCTCTCTGGTCTCTCTCTAGTCTCTCTCTGGTCTCTCTCTGGTCTCTCTATAGTCTCTCTCTGGTCTCTCTCTAGTCTCTCTCTGGTCTCTCTCTAGTCTCTCTCTGGTCTCTCTCTGGTCTCTCTCTAGTCTCTCTCTGGTCTCTCTCTAGTCTCTCTCTGGTCTCTCTCTGGTCTCTCTCTAGTCTCTCTCTGGTCTCTCTCTAGTCTCTCTCTGGTCTCTAGTCTCTCTCTGGTCTCTCTCTCTCTCTGGTCTCTCTCTAGTCTCTCTCTGGTCTCTCTCTGGTCTCTCTATAGTCTCTCTCTGGTCTCTCTCTAGTCTCTCTCTGGTCTCTCTCTGGTCTCTCTCTAGTCTCTCTCTGGTCTCTCTCTAGTCTCTCTCTGGTCTCTCTCTAGTCTCTCTCTGGTCGCTTTCTCTGGTCTCTCTCTCTCCTCCCTCGCTGCTCTCTCTCTGGTCTCTCTCTAGTCTCTCTCTGGTCTCTCTCTGGTCTCTCTATAGTCTCTCTCTGGTCTCTCTCTAGTCTCTCTCTGGTCTCTCTATAGTCTCTCTCTGGTCTCTCTCTAGTCTCTCTCTGGCCTCTCTCTGGTCTCTCTCTGCTCTCTCTGCTCTCTCTCTGCTCTCTCTGGTCTCTCTCGTGTCCGTAAGTGTTGTTGAATGTTCTTGATGTGTGCTGTGTATGTAGAAAGGTGTGTCAGATGGGTGTCTGTGAAGAGGATTACTACAGTAAGCCTGCTTTAGCCACACACACAAAGACCTACATTCACCAGACCCACTTTTCACATGCAAGAGCCGCTTCAGAAACAGACTAAAAAGAGGGAAAAAAAACTATATTTAGAAAAAGTTTAAAAAGATCATCAAATATGTATGGACAGTGACCTGAGGAGCCGGGAGGGGATGAGTTCACAGCAGCAAGACAGCAACAAAAAACACATATTTTATTTTTTTAGGGATAAAAACTTTAGTTTAGTTTAAGACCCGTTCTGCCGGGTTTCCCTCAAACATCATGTCATAATGATACTTTTTTTTTTACATTAAATTTATGTAATGCACACACATATATGTCCTCTCATATACACACATAAATATATATCCTCATACACATACACACTCACTCACACACACACTCACACACACACACACACACACACGCACACACACACACACGCACACACACACACATACACGTTTTTGTTACCTGGTGGGTCCCTTTGACAGGGCCGTTCAGAATGGGACCCATAGACATAATCTTTTTTTACCAAGACTTTAAGTAATACAAAACAGTCAATAGAAACCAAACAACTATTTTAAAGGAATTTTATTTTAGATTTTGTTTTCGAATTGCAGTGATTCTATTTTTGACATAGAATTTAATGCCACTCCATGTCCGATGTCTAAGGTCATCTGGTGAGGCATTAATGCAGGCCAGGCAGTGAGACTTCCCAGGGACCTTTCCAGTCTGTATGAAAGGTGTCATGGTCTTCTCCACAGCCTTCACCTCAGATGCAGACCATGGCTTTCTTACACGTTCTAGGGAGAGAAATAAAAATATATTAGCAATATACACTCCCAGGGTGAGGACCAAGCAGCCTGGCTGTAATCCCCCACCTGGTACACTTACCAGAAGGGGCACTGCCACTACCATGGGGTGCATCTGGATGAATGGTTGAAGGTTCTCCGCTTGAAGTTTCTTTTAGCCCGTCCGTTTGTGAGAGGATCTCTAC